AATTCTGACGTGCAAGAAGAGGGGTTTCTCCTGGTCTACCATAACCTTGAGGCAGATGGATGATACAGATGCCAGAATACCATGCAGGGGCTGATGTCCCTGGCACAGTGTTAGATGATGCCTAAAAAGCAAAGGAAAAATATGGTGTATATTCAAACTTCCAGGCAGGGCACAGACCTGAGGCACTTCTAGGCCTCTAAGAAATCAATGCACTGCTTACCCCAACTTTCAAACCATTATGCTAACTCAAGGGCCTAGTCTGCCCCAATTCTCCTTCACTACCAATTCTAGAGCACAGAAAATACAGCTCCTGATCTGGAAACGACAGAAGCGTTTTTGCCAACACACATCCCTCAAGGTCCCCTCTCACAGAACCGCCCACGCCATTTTTGATAATGTGGTTCCAAATTAGTTTGAGACTTTTAACTGACTTTGATTTTACTACTGTCCAAGTAAACTGATTTTTATATTATAATATGTATCATGCTAGGCACTTTCTACTCAAAAAATTGTGAGCTGGAGGTAAGGGGATCCCTTCAAAGTGAAGCAGCAAGTTAAGAAGGGCAACAGATGCAGCCTATTATCTCATTCTTGTAGACAGTATTCTGTATCATACCTTAAAGAATACAGCTCTTTGTGCAACAACTTGGCTGACAGTGTTATCTCTACCTGAGTGATGATTCAAAATTGGATTCTCCTCCAAAGGTTTTAGATGCACTCTATAATCCAGTACATAGATGGCTGTGATATAGACTGCCTTGAATTGGTATTTGATTGCAAATGTTTCATGCAGTCTGACTTAATTCTGCAGACTTGACTTAATTCCTTCTGATAGGCAAAGAACCTGGAAAAGCTGTGTCAATACGTGCAGTTGTCAGGACAAAATCAGGACTACCCCTTCCAGCTCACAGGGTATGGCTGGGGATAGGGCCTTATAACTTTAAGATGATTTTTAAGGGAAAAAAAAGATACACACATTTTTCCCCAGCACAGCCATATCCATGAATTGAGGGTACTTTTCCTCCTCTCAGGTAGGGAAAACAGAAAACCACAGAAAACAAACAGACCCCTCTCCAGTATTTGAGATCCAGTGCAGGCTAATGGGAGTAAATACTCAGGTGGAACCTAACTTCTCTTTCC